TATATATATATATATATATATATATATGTATAGATATACAAATGTAAATGGAAGTATATAAAGATAAATGCAGATGTAATATATATAAATATAAATATTATATATTTATACAAATATAAATTTATTTATTTATTTATTTATTTATAAATATATTTATTTATTTATCTATAAATATACTCATTTATTTATTTATTTATAAATATATTTATTTATTTATTTATTTATTTATTTATTTATATTTTTATTTTAATATAAAAACAAAATTTTGCTTTTAATCACCAAGGCGGTGACGGTGTCGATACATAAAAAAATAAAAAAATAAAAATAAATAAATAAAATAAAAATAAAAAAATAAATAAATAAAATAAATAAAAAAGATAAATAAAATAAATAAATAAAATAAAAAAGATAAATAAAAATAAAATAAATAAGTAAAATAAAACAAAATAAATGAAATAAATAAAATAAATAAAATAAATAAAATAAATAAAATAAATAAACAAAATAAATAAAATAAAATAAAATAAAAAATAAAGTAAATAAAATAAAATAAAAAAATAAAATAAAAAACTTGCGGGCTGCATTTTGCTGCCTAAGCGAAGAAAATCAGTTGACTTTCTTCCTTTATAAAACTAACATTTATTTATTTTATTTTATTTTATTTTATTTTATTTTATTTTATTTTATTTTATTTTATTTTATTTTATTTTTATTTATTTAGTTATATATAAATAAAAATAACAAAACAAACTGAGGAGAGACGCAATAGATAGATCGATGCATGCAGCAGCAACAGCAGCAGCAGCAGCAGCAGTTTTAGTAGCATTAGCAGTACCAGCAGCAGCAGCAACAGAAGCAGTAACTGCAGCAGCAGCAACAGCAGCAGCAGCAGCAGCAGCAGCAGCAGTAGCAGCAGCAGCCGGTTTGCTGATACGCCAGCAGCAGCGACGTTGCTGCTGCTGTTGCTGCTGCTGCTGCTGCTGGTGTTGCTGCTGCTGCAGCAGCAGAGGAAGCTGTTGTCTTGTATTTATAATTGCGGTGTATATACACCTATTAAATTAATTATTTTTTGTTTTTTTTCATTTAGCTAGAACAGAAATTCAGGTGTATAGGCAGCTATATTTGGGGTGTATACGCAGCTGCTAAACCCTAAACCCTAAACCCTAAACCCTAAACCCTAAAAAAAAGAAAAGGAGCAAGAAAAAACGGTATTGTTTATTTGTTTTATTGTATAAAATCAATGTTTTGTTTATTTTTTTTTTGTTTTTTTATTTAATTTAAATAAATATAAAAACAAAACAAAGAAAACAGAGAGAGACAAACATTTCGCCTATTGCTGCAGCGGCCGCTGCATGCTGCTGGGGCTGCTTCTTACAGCAGCTGCTGCAGCACAAGCAGCAGCAGCAGCAGCAGCAGCAGCAGCAACAGCAGCAGCAGCAACAGCAGCAGCAGCAGCAACAGCAGCAGCAGCAGCAGCAGCAGCAGCAACAGCAGCAGCAGCAGCAACAGCAGCAGCAGCAGCAGCAGCACAAACAATGATAAGAATGAAGCAGCTAATCAACATATCTATAAACTGCTGCAACAGCAAAATAAATATATTTTTATTTTTATTTATAAATATAAATAACTAAATAAATAAATATAAATAAATAAATAAATATAAATAAATAAATAAATATAAATAAATAAATAAATGTAAATAAATAAATATATTTATTTATAAATACCTTTAGGCGCAGCAAGAGGAGACAGACTCTAAGACAGCAGCAACTTTTGTATTTTTATTTATAAATATAAACAACTAACCAACTAAATAAATAAATAAATAAATAAATAAATAAATACAAATAAATAAATAAATAAATAAATAAATAAATAAATACCTTTGGGAGCAGCAAGAGAAGAGGAGACAGACTCTAAGACAGCAGCAACTTCTCCTACATTTTTATTTATAAATATAAACAATAAAATATATTAATTTATTTATTTATATTTACTTATTTATTTATTTATTTATATTTATTTATTTATTTATTTATTTATTTATAAATACCTTTGGGAGCAGCAAGAGAAGAGGAGACAGACTCTAAGACAGCAGCAACTTCTCCTTGGTGGCTTCGACTAGATATTTGCTGCGCCTGATCAATGCATGCACGCAGCAGCAGCAGAATGCATGCATGCAGCAGCAGCAGCAGAATCTATACATGCATGCAGCAGCAGCAGAATGTATGTATGCATGCATGCATGCAGCAGCAGAATGTATGCATGTATGCATGCAGCAGCAGCAGAATGCATGCATGCAGCAGCAGCTGCAAAATGTATGCATGCAGCAGCAGCAGCAAAATGTATGCATGCAATGCAAAAAAAAAAACCTAAAAAAAAAAAAAATTAAAACAAAACTTAATTAAATAAATAAACAAACAAAAATAAATAAAATAAAATAAAATAAAAAAAAAAAAAAAAAAAAAAAAAAAAAAAAAAAAAAAA